CATAATTAGTGCAGTGCAGAGTTTCATAATTTAATTAATATTATTTTTATTTCATGAAAAATAACCATTTTAGGGTCTAAATATTATTCATAACATATCAATCTTTCAATCTATACCCTAATTATTCATATTAACACTCCTGATTCCAAGAAATTTATCATAGAAATTTAGTTTAGCTTAAACAGCGTCCCATAATTGGTACTTTTACCTTATCTGTTCTGGTGAGTTATTTTCAAATAATTTTCGTTTATTTAAATGAATTTAGCAGAAATATATTTATTTTAAATAAAAATCAGTATTTATAATCTATTTTTAATGATTTATACTGAGTTTTCGAAAAATGGGTTATGTTAGACTTCATAACCAGTTAGACATTTAAAAAAAATATTTAAAAGAATGTAGAATATATTTGGGGCTATAAACCACTAAAATATAATCCAATTTTATTGAAGAATATTATATATTAATCACATCATTTTTTAAAATCATCGAGCAATCAGCTCTAGACGGTTTTCACTGGAATGACCCTTCTATTATCTACATTTACTTTAAATTAGTGTTATATTAAGAAAAATGCTTTAAAAGTCACCTCGTATACAAGCATCTATACACTTCTCATTACGGAAAAAAAGGATTTAAAAAATATTGATTTTTGTGAAATTGGCAAGCATTTGAAACTCATTTTTCGACCAAAAAAACGGCACTAAATTGTTCATAAGAAATGTATAAATGTGACGCGCTCCCAAGAAAGGTTCCTAAGAAGCAAAAAATTTGAGGTTATGTTTTAAATTTTGTAAGTAAAAATACAGAAAGAGAATCAATTATTAATTAAAAATTGTTGGTCTTCAAGTCTCCACTATATTCAAAATATTCAATGAATATTGGTTTTAAATTCAAATAATTAAAAATGAACTTTTAATCAAGATAAATCTAACTCGAACCCAACCTATAATTCGTTTGCTTCTTAGGTACCTTTCTTGGGAGCGCGTCACAAATTAAGTTATTGAAAATCCCCTACGTGTTTCTCTTTGAAATTTTATTATAAAGATGTAAGAAAAAATCCGATTAAAAATATTGAAAATTGTTTGAGTTATGCTGCATGCCGATTTCAAAAAACGTGTTTTGATAAATACACGTTTAAAGTTTTGAGAGATATACACTGAAAAAAAAGTTCATTGAATCAAGTAAATGCATTTTCTTGACCTGATTTATTTGAAACAAACCCATATTTTCTTATTGGAAGAAATTTATTTTCTTGTGTCAAGTAATTTTGAGCATTGATCAAAGTTATTGAAATAAGAAAATATGGGTTTGACATAAGTAAATATCTTACTGTTTCAAACGAACTGTTTTACATGCGCCAAGTCTCGAAAAAGTATTGAATCAAGAATATCATTGAGTCATTTGGTATCTTGAGTCAAATAATTTTTTTATTTCCTTTAAAGCAACTAAGGTAAAAGTACCAATTATGGGACGCTGTTTAAGCTAAACTAAATTTCTATGATAAATTTCTTGGAATCAGGAGTGTTAATATGAATAATTAGGGTATAGATTGAAAGATTGATATGTTATGAATAATATTTAGACCCTAAAATGGTTATTTTTCATGAAATAAAAATAATATTAATTAAATTATGAAACTCTGCACTGCACTAATTATGGGACTATGATTTCTGTATGTACGGGTGTCCCATAATGAATGTTCCTATTATGAGACATTTATTTAATTCAATAAGTAATTAGAATTCTATTGACTTATCCTAATAATTTGAATATTAATTATAAAGAATAAAATACAATAAACAAATTCTGGTTTAAAAAATAATTATAAAACTAATTTTTCTGGTAGAAAATTAATGCGAAAAAACTGAAAATATTTGAGGTTATGTTTGCTGTATATTTCCTGTGTGTCTCATAATAGGGATAGCAAATAATAAGTGCACCTAATGTGGGACGGTAGTCTGACGAAAAACTTGGCTTACCTTAATTTAAAAGCTAAAATGCAAATAAACATTTCTTATTAAATTAAATGCTATACACAAATAATTATTCTTTTAACGTGTAAAATTTTTTGAAATAAGTAGAAATTTCTTATGACCAATTTTAATTGCATTTATTTTATTTTTTGTAATACTGTCTCATAATAGGGACAAAATTGTAAATTGTCCCATAATTGGGACCTTTACCTTATTTACTTATTTCATCCAACACCCATAGTCTTGAGCCAAGAAAATGGGAAGATTAAGGTAAAGGTCCCAATTATGGGACAATTTACAATTTTGTCCCTATTATGAGACAGTATTACAAAAAATAAAATAAATGCAATTAAAATTGGTCATAAGAAATTTCTACTTATTTCAAAAAATTTTACACGTTAAAAGAATAATTATTTGTGTATAGCATTTAATTTAATAAGAAATGTTTATTTGCATTTTAGCTTTTAAATTAAGGTAAGCCAAGTTTTTCGTCAGACTACCGTCCCACATTAGGTGCACTTATTATTTGCTATTCCTATTATGAGACACACAGGAAATATACAGCAAACATAACCTCAAATATTTTCAGTTTTTTCGCATTAATTTTCTACCAGAAAAATTAGTTTTATAATTATTTTTTAAACCAGAATTTGTTTATTGTATTTTATTCTTTATAATTAATATTCAAATTATTAGGATAAGTCAATAGAATTCTAATTACTTATTGAATTAAATAAATGTCTCATAATAGGAACATTCATTATGGGACACCCGTACATACAGAAATCATAGTCCCATAATTAGTGCAGTGCAGAGTTTCATAATTTAATTAATATTATTTTTATTTCATGAAAAATAACCATTTTAGGGTCTAAATATTATTCATAACATATCAATCTTTCAATCTATACCCTAATTATTCATATTAACACTCCCGATTCCAAGAAATTTATCATAGAAATTTAGTTTAGCTTAAACAGCGTCCCATAATTGGTACTTTTACCTTAATACAAGTTAATAATTGTTTCAACTCAATTAAAAATTATTTTGTTTCAAAGAAATATTAATTAATCTAAGCATTTCTTTTACTTGAAGCATTTCTATATTCTCATGTTTCAAAATCATTAATTTCTTGCGAGAATATTATATTTTCTGGAATGAAATATTTTATTTATTCAATTCAATTAAGTGTAAGATCTTGAATTAAATCATTCTTTTGTTTCCTTTAAAAAAGTTTTTACTTAATTCAACGCTCATATAATCCTGATTCAAGAAAATACGAAGGTTAATATAAGTAAATATTTGTTTCAAGTTGATTAAAAATTACATTTAATTAATCCCATATTTATTTGAAGAAAGAAATTCATTTTCTTGTGTCAAGTAAATATTAGCATTGAACAGAATTCTTGAATTAACAATTTAGTATTTGGCAGAACTCAATATGTAATTATTTCAACCAAATATTTTACTTTTCCGAAGTACCAAAAAGTATTGAATCTAGAATATCATGTTCTTAAGCAAAATAATAAAGTATTGTGTGGAGAATTCATGTTTCTTGAATCGAATCATTTTATTTATTTGCTTTGAAACTTTTTTTTACTTAACACAATGCCGGTGTTCTTGATCCAAGAAAATATTTTTCTTCAAATGTATATGCAACTTAAATATCAGTTTTTGAAAACTGTCCATTGAGGCTAGGATGGCATAGTGGTAGCGTGACGGCTTCTGGTGCGTGCAAACCGAGTTCAATTCCTCCGACCGTGGAAAATTTTCTTTCAAGGTATATTTGTTGTATTTGTGATAAGTATTAATTAAATGTAAATATATATGTAAAATAACAATTATTTAAATAAAAAATATAAATGTTAATTAATTAAATAATAAAAATGTTTGACCTAAGTATTAGAAAAGATGGGATGGGGGTAAGGGGGGGGGTAATTTAAGTAAATAATTTACTTGTATTGAGAAAGTATTTTTTTGATTGAAATCTATAAATTTTCTCAAATCAAGAAAATATTTTCTTGGACAGAGAACATACTTTCTTGATTTGATGCATAAATGATTTTGAATTAATATATTCTGCATTTCTTACATGCTACTTAATTTCTTGGTCGAATTACTTATTTTCTTGGATCAAGAATATCTGTTCTTCTCACAAAATAAATGTTTTCTTCATTTAAATCTTGAATTACTTGAACGAACGTTACAAAAAATTGAATGAATCAAATAAAATAATTCAATTAACTATATATATTCTTAGAACAAGAAAATATTTTATTCATTTAATACATTTCATACTTCGTATAAGAAGACTAACTTCTTGGTCGAATTCCATATTTTCTTGGATCAAGAATATATGTTCTTCTCCCAAATATCCTATGTCAAGAAAATCGTTTTCTTGAATCAATACTTTAATAGTCTTGGCCGTATTCAATCCCACGATTTGCTTCAACCAAGAAAATTTTTCTTGGTTCAATACTTTTTTTTTCAGTGTATACAACATACCTATAAAGAAATGAAAAATTATTCTTTTAAAAATTTTTTACCATTAATCTGTAATTAAAGCATCATATAGACATCCTTCTGTATTTGTATCATCATCATCTGAGCAGTTTCTGCCCAACAGGTATAGCCATCAGACGAAGGTAGTCGTTGCGGAACGGCCCTGTGCGCTCGGTAAAAGAGCTCGAAATTTCAATTAAATCGACTTCAGACACGTATAAAACCTTTTGCTCTATATTCTACAAAGTTCAAAGAATCTTTTTTGAGCTAATAAAAAAAATTTATGTTTTGAAAATTCTACAGTGGCCTTACTCCTTAACACAAAAAAGTTTGACAAAAAACTCTTGTATAATTGAGGGTTCACGTGCAATAAGGGGATACGCATGGAAGTGAAAGTCCCCGCGTATAGCGATTCTGCGGCTGCGCGAGAGGACAACGAATAGCCTGCGCGTCCCCTTATTGCACGTGAACCCTCAATTTAAAAAGCATTTTAATGTTTGTTTTTATATTGTTGCCTCTTAGATTGTCATGGAGTATTGCGGAGCAGGATCCGTAAGTGATATTATGAGATTAAGAAAGAAAACTCTTCAAGAGGATGAAATTGCCACAATTCTATGTGATACACTCAAGGGTTTGGAATACCTTCATCTTAGACGAAAAATTCATAGGGACATTAAGGCTGGAAACATTTTGCTCAATAACGAAGGACATGCTAAATTAGCCGACTTTGGTGTAGCTGGTCAATTAACGGTAAATTATTATTATTTATACATGTTACGGTAAATGTACGAAGACCGGTGAATGTCAGAAATTTTTAAATTAGGGAAAAAATTATGTACATTTACCAAGTGAATCGGTAAATGTGTACATTGACCAGCGTTGATTAGTAAATGTTGATATTTTATTTTGCAAACATTTCAATTAGATACAAATCGAAATACAAAGAGAACAGATTTGTAAAAGTAGAATGTTATATTGGCAATCTCATCAGTTACCTATTATTCTATAAGATGGCTTTTGATAGTGAAATTGGCAGTTTATTTGAATTTTGTGAAATAAAAATGAGTGAATTTATTGAAATGAAAAAAAAATTTCATTAACAAGAATTCGATTTTAAAAAAAACGTTCAAATAGAATAAAAAAACAAAAGAAACTTTTTATTTATTTTTCAGTTTCTTCGATTCTATAACTGACTCCACAGCCTTGGATTTTCTTTAAACATTTTTTTTTAATTACTTTTAAAGCCAATCCACATATTTTGAGGATTCCCGTACAATTACAATTTTTTAAATATAGAGGACAAAATAAAAGTATCACACAATTTAAGACTGATAATGTGATAAACCTTTTGTGTAACACCTGCTGGAAAAGAGTAACTTTTCTTTAACCTAATTCTGTGGCATAGTTTTCTTTAACTTTACATGGTCGTTTAATTTCTTTAACCTACTTCGTGGAATTTCCTTAAACATACTATAGATTCTTGGAACAGCTTCTACACAAGCAAGACTTTTTAAAAATGAATAAATAATCATGTTACGTAGGATACAATGGCCAAACGGAACACTGTTATCGGTACTCCCTTTTGGATGGCACCTGAAGTCATTCAAGAAATAGGTTATGATTGCGTAGCGGATATTTGGTCTCTTGGGATAACAGCACTTGAGATGGCAGAGGGTAAACCACCCTACGGGGATATCCATCCGATGAGAGCAATTTTTATGATCCCTACGAAGCCACCACCCAGTTTCAGAGAGCCTGATCAGTGGAGTCCAGAATTCATAGATTTTGTAAGTGGTTGCCTTGTCAAAAATCCAGAAGAAAGAGCTACTGCCACTGAGTTATTACACCATGAATTTATAGGTAAAAATAAAATTTAAAAGCCTGTAAGCTTTTTTTGTGAACTCATTGATTATTACTTCTTGAATTTTTAAAAGGTAATGCCAAACAGCCAAGTATTCTCAGTCAAATGATCGCAGATGCACACGAGATGAGAGAGAAGCAAAGTGCACATAGAGCACATATGATTAATAATGTAGCAATAAAGAGTCAGCAAAACACAGAAGACTCGGTAAGTGTTCATTTTTAATCTATTTTTGCCATGAAGATTATCATTAACTTACGATCATTTTTACAAAACAAGAAAATGGATATTAAGTTCTAACTTTTTGCAAAATTTTTATATAGGACGACGATGATTGTACAGGAACAATGAGACCTCTTCCTGAAGATTCAGGAACTTTAGTACCTTCTCACGATCTTCCGGATACAGGAACTCTGGTTTCCGGTATTTTAGATCTGGGGACCATGGTTATTAACAGTGATACAGATACGGAAGCAACGATGAAAAGTTAGTTTTCAATTAAATTATACTTTTAATATTTTTCTTAACAATTTTAAAGTCGGAGGAAAGCATAAACTTTTTCAAGTAAAAAAATTAAATTTTTCTTAAGAATCCATATATGCAAGTAAGAGAAGTTTCATGTCAGTCATAGCCTAACGATTACAAAACTTTTATATGCTGCTCGGGTGACATGATTATTTTTGTTATAGCTACAAAGAAGTTTTAATCTATTTAAAAACAATGTCCTATTTGTGAAATATAAGTAATGAAAATGTAAATAAATCGTACAGAAAAATTGCTTTTTGGCATGCCTCTTTTTAAAAAAAAAATAATCTTTTGAAATTTTCTTTGTGAAAAATGGTCAATTAAAGTATTAAAACAGGTAACTATACCTTATTTTACGAGAACTAAGCAAAAAAAATTATTACATTATAAATCAGGGTTGCTACGCAATCTGGAAAACCTGAAAATGTCAGGGAATTTTATAAACCTGGAAAAACCTTGAAAAGTCAGAGAATTTTTATCGAAACCCTGGAAAATTGTTGTTTTCTAAAGTTATTGTGTTTATTCTTGAAATCTAATTTCACTTAAATATTTCAAAAATTAATTCAGTTATTTTCAAAACTTTTAATCAAATTCTTGTCAGAATTTCAATTATTTTTAATAAAATATTCATCAAATTTCTCGAAAAATGCAATTATTCTTAAAAATTTTATTAAAATTTGTCAAGAGAATTAAATTGTTTAAAAATTTGTTGATAAAATTCTTTATGAAAATTCAATTTTAAGAAACATTCAATTGTTTAATAAAATATTTATTTTTATAGTTAAATAATTGAATTCTTGTAGAATTTTCTAATAAATATTGATTTAAAAATGAATTTCAAATTAAAATCTTTGTAGATTTGAACTTTTTATACTTTTAATTAAGAATGCTATGGGTTAAAATCAAAAAATCGTTGAAAACTTGTCCTGGATAAATAATAATTTGTTTGTTAAAAATTCATGATTTAAAATACAAACATCTTGCAGAGTATAATTTTATCTACAATACCTGGTTATTTAATTTAATTTTTTATTGATACAACAGGTACAAAATAGTAAAAATATGTCCAAAATGTCATCGTGTCCCGTGTCCCTATATACATTTTACGATATAAAAGAATTTTTAATTCAATTTTTTATTATATAAAATAAAATTTCTCTTCGTATACGTGTTCTCCAATGTATGAAGTGTAATATAGGAAAGTGGTGAGAATTTTTATAACACTAAATGCAAAATTTAAAGAATTTTTAGCGTGTCCCCAGATTTGAAATTTTTTAATGTCATCGTGTCCTCACACACATATTTACCGGTTTTCAAATTGGTATCGCAATTAAAAGTTGAAAAACTATGAAACAAATCAAGTATGATATAAATTTGATAATACGTGAGCATAGAGAAATGTCAAAATCAATTTAAAAATCAGTAAAATGATATTTTGATAATATTAGGAAAAGAGTACATCTTTTTTTGTCATCGGGTCCACAAGTATTTTTTTAAAGGCGAACATTTTTAAATGGTAATTAATATATAAAAAAAATTTCTAGTATATGTATATTATTTGTGTAAATGTACAATTGAAACTAAATTTAAGTTTTCGAATAATAACAAAAATAAAAATTCATGTTTATTATTTTTTGTCATCGTGTCCCGTCCGACATATCTTTTTTTAAGAGTGAAGTTAGACGTTACATAGACAGAAAGAAATTTTCTTAAATCTATTTGGTTAGTTATCAAAAAATATTTTCAGAAATTCATATTAAAACGATTAACACGCTAAAAAATATGTTATTATTACACTACCCTCCACGAGTATCAGGACGATTACACGCGACTCTATAAAAAAACATGCCATAACTTTTTCAATCATATCTCGTAAATAAAAGGATACAAAAAAATCTTAAATACGGTTTGAAAGCTGATTAAATTTTGCGTAAAATAAACCGTCATTGAAGTGATTTCGTTAACTATTTTTTGAGTTGTAGAGTGAGAAAGAAATAAAAAAATTATCAAATTTTCTCATTTTTGTCTCTTGACTTCAACTTTTTCAAAAATCTAGAAAAATGTAGATAAAAGTTTTTTAGAAACACAGAAATCTTCGTTAAAATTTCAGCTTTAAAATAAGCCTTCGAAAATTAAAAAGGATTAATCCGTCTTCGATATATCATTAAAAATGTGAAGCTGTGTTACGACCGATTGGTGTATTGAAATTCAACTGTGACGAATCGACTCTGGCTTCGCGCGGCAGCGAATGAGAGAGAAAGCAGGGACAAATTCATGCAGGGGAACGATGAACTTTCGAGTTTCTTTATATTACTCGTGAAACATCATTATTTATTATTCCCCAGCATAAATCCGTCCCTGTTTTCTCTTCCATTCGCAGCCACGCGAAGCTAGAATCCAGTCGTCACAGTTAAATTCCAATGCACCAATCGTCGAAACTTGGCTTCACATTTTTAATGATATATCGAAGGCGAATTAACCTTTTTTAAATTTCGAAGGCTTATTTTAAAGCTTAAATTCTAACAAAGATTTCTGTGTTTTTAGAAAAATTTTATCTAAATTTTTCTAGATTTTTGGAACAGTTGAAGTCAAGAAACAAAAATGAGAAAATTTGATAATTTTTTTTATTTCTTTCTCACTCTACAACTCAAAAAATAGTTCATGAATTGACTTCAACGACAGCTTATTTTACGCAAAATTTAATCAGCTTTCTAACCGTATTTAAGTTTTTTTGTACCTCCTTTTATTTCCGAGATATGATTGAAAAGTGAAGGCATGTTTTTTCACAGAGTCGCTTGTAATCGTCCTGATACTCGTGGACGGTAGTGTATTTAACAGGTAAATTCAGTAATTAAATAATTAAACTAACTAAAAATAAAAAATTAATTATTACTATAAGCTTTTTTTTGTAATTTCATCATATTGAACTAGGTTAAATATGTGATTACTAAAAAAAATATTATTAAGCTAATAAGTATTCCTTGATCTTGCATTTTATGATTTTTGACATATTTTAGAACATAACTAACAAAACAGACAATTTTTTCAACATTTCAAAGATTTTATTTTCTTTTAAAAAGTTAGGCACATATTGTCGATTTTTTTATTTTGACCCCAAAATAGAATTAATTTTTCTCATTAAGTTTAATGGAATTTTTAAAAATTATTTGAAGTTTTTATTTTCTAATATATTTTATTGAAGAATGTCAGAATAATTAAAATTTCGTAAAATTAAATTGTAGGGGAGACTGGGGCGAAAAGTTGAATTTTCCATAAATGATTTTTTTCAGACAATATAATCCGCTTAGATGCACATATTTATATATCAATATTGTAGGGCAACTTGTCCCCTACAACTTTCAATAAAAAAGTTTCTGATATTTTCGCATAAAATACATGTTTTGTCTTTTTTTGAAAATTTTGTTTTTTTTAACTTTTCGCCCCATGCTGGGTGGAAAAGTTAAATGACTAGGGCTAGGGCTAGTCTAGAAATGAATAATCGTAATGATGAAAATAATTTTTGAAGAAGTTATAGTAACAAAGTAGCAAGTTTTAATTATTATAATACATGAAGAAAACGATCACTCCGAGTCGAAGTCTCGGAGTGATCGATATCTTCATGAGATATCGATATCGATATCTTCATATCTTCATATCTTCATCTTCTTCATATCTTCATCAATTGAATTATTATTGAATTTCAAATTTTTGAATATTTTAATTTCTATAAAAAAAATGATTAAATATTTATTTAAAAATGAAGTTATTGATGTTTTTGAATAATTTTCGTTTTAAAAATCTGGAAAAATTCCGTTTTTGTAACCTGGAAAACCTGGAAAAGTCAGGGAATTTAAAAAGAACAAAAGCGAGGCAACCCTGTAAATGAAAGTGAACTTTAAAATATTAATTTTCGCGAATCATACAAATTTAACTATTGGACTACATCAAAGGTACGGATTGTGAGAAAGACTTAATAGAGTATTTTCTTTAGTTTAATAGAAGTTAATAATAATTTTTAAGAAAACTATGATTTGCCTGTTCCGTTTTCTTTGTAACAAAGTGTTTAAGTCGTAGTTTCATAAATTTTTTTAACTATTTGTAACAAAACCATCATGAAGATGCGGCAAAACTGTAGGCTGTTGCTGCACATGCTAATTAGATAAATATTTAACAATTATATTTTAATTATATATTTAAAGACTGGATTAAATTTTTTTTAAATTCAATAAAAATTTACAATACATTTTGAACATCTATCATGGAATTCAGAGCAGTTTTTATGTAGCCAAGAATGTCAAATACTGCACTGAATCCAACAATTTATTGTTTACATTTATTTTTAGTCCCAAAAGGTTGAAAAGTTACCCATAGTAAAAAAGATTTTTTTAAAAATTCTGTAAAATATTTGTATTGGACATTTCTTATTCTATTTTGTAATTTTCTGAATTTGTTTTTACTAAAAAGAACGTAATTTAAAGATTGGTATGCTTTGGACAGTGCGCGTTCAGCAGTACCTAGTACGTAAAAGTTTCAATTCTGATTAATTAAAATGTAATTTATATATCTTTATATATGCGGACATCCACATTGATAGATCCCATTTTGTCGCATCTAGTTTTCAAGACAATCTAATTTTAGTAATTTTCGTGAAAATTCTTTGTATTAATGAACACGGTTTTACACGCAGAATTATGTAGTTCTCATTAATTTATTGTTAATTTAAGTGTCTAATTAAAAAAAAAAATTTTTTTAAATTTTTAAGAAAGTGGTTTTTGGAATGGGAGATAAAAAATATAAAACTTATTGATTTGTCATCCAAAATGTGTTTTTGACTTAAAAAAATTACCATTTGTTTAACTTTACGGCAGAATTAAAACATGACCACTTGAAACTTTGTTTTCGTTTTGTCAGTTAACTGTTAAAAATTTGTAATAAATCTTGTATACTTACTATATTTCTTCGAATAACTTAATAAATTAACAACCAACCGAAACTTCGTAAACGAATTCAGAAGAACCAGAGATATTCGTATTTCAATTTTTGATTTCGATTCCCTCGAAAACGAAATGAGGTTTTTGGCTTTTCGAATTCTGTAATTCACAATCAGCGATTTTTACACTTAAAGTGACGTTAAACCTTTTGAAATTTTCTAACTATTCAAAGAATTCGCCCATCGAAATAGCTCCAATAGTGCCAAAATGACATTTTTTATGCTGACGTCCACACTTACATATATATGGATATAATATATTATATAAACATTTAAAAATTTTAATTTTTTTCTTCAGGGCATAATACTGGTTCAGTTGAATCGGGAAAGAAATATAGACCACTATTTCTAGATCACTTCGATACAAAGGAAACACCAGAAATAGGAAAGGTAAATTTTGTAAAAAGAATATGTAAATAATAATTAAATTATTTATTTCAAGGAATTTAATAGTGGAATTCTTTTCAGGGAAACGGTCAGATATTAGGAGTACAAAATCCTGAAATAGAGAATAAAATAGATTTACAGAATCCAGTAGAATCTCAAAGGTTTCAAAACAATTTACAGTTACAACTGAATCAAATTTCGCATCCAATGCCAGAGCAACCCCATAATAACATATCTAAGTTTCAAAATCCTTTCACAGAAAGGGATTTCGATTTTGTAAGTATTTTTTCTTCTTTCTTTAAAGAAATAGAATAAATATTATTAAGACGCATAAATATTTTCTAAAATTTGTTATGAATTTAGAGTGAATCGCTTGCATTAAATGAAAATTTAATTTCTAAATTTTGTCTAATTTTTGTCTTTCTAAATACTTCAAGAAGATTATCAAAAGTTTTCTTTAAAATGATAGCTTTGCTAAGGTGGGAGTCTCAATTGTAAAATTTTATATTCTTTTCATATAATATAGTAACATAACTATTTTGAAAGTTAGTTTAGACATTTGAATTTTTACATTACGAAATAATAAGAGTCTGAAACTCATTCTTTAACAATAATTTTCAAAATCTTTCAGCATTATTATATTTTTATGTGACTTTTATGGATGATTCTCCACGAAGTGGTAACTATTGACTACGGTAAAGTCAAGTTTCAATTAATAATATAAATAGTGTAAAAACAAATAATATGTATTCTGAGTAAGATTATTAAATAACAATTAAGAAATATTACAAAGCATTGAAGCACAAATCAATTTTTAACGATATATGGTAAAAAAATTTTTCAAAGCTCACGCCTAAATTAAAATTATATAAATATGTGTCAACTTAAACTTTTTCTTAAACTATTTAAACTTAAACTTAAACTATTTCTTATCTTTTTTTTAATATTATAAAAAATTGACATTTTCTCGAAAAAAGTCATTTTTTCAAATTCCAAATTTGTAAATTTTGCAAAAAAATTTTTTTTTGCAAAACTGTTTGGCACAGTTATTTAGTACCCCAAGTACTACAAAATTACATAGATTAAGAAAAATCGGTGATCCACCATTTGCTTTTCCTATGGAACTGCCCAAATTTGAAAATTTGTTTCAGTCTAAAAAAAAATTTTTTAAATACATTTTTTGTGACCAGCCTGTAAAAATACACTAGTATACCAATTTTAGTTAATTATAACAAATAATGTAAAAGTTAGGCACACTGTGCCTGAACCAAAAAAAAGTTTGACAAAAATGGATCCACAATCTGGTTGTTGGGAATGCTTCTGCATCATATCATAAGTAAAAATCCGTTGAGACCAAAATCCTAGCTGATCCTTTTTTTGAGATATCAACATATTTACATGCAAATTTTTACAAAATAATCAAATTAAAACTTTGTAACTACATGTAGGCAATCCAATCACGCAAAAGGTATCTTAAATATTTTTTACATGTAAATATATGGAATTACATTTAAAATAAGACAGAAATAAAGAAAATTGATTAATATTTATCAAAATTTCGGGGTTTTTCAATATAAAGTTTAGTTAAAAGTTGGTTTTGAACTTTTTTGATATTTTAGGTAATATTTCCAAAACCTTTATATTTCTTTTAAGTGTATTAATTATATTTTAATAATATTTGCACAAAATTTTATTTATTTGATTTAAAAAAATACAAACAATAAGACATATTATGTAGACGTATACAAAAAAAATTTTATTACGTTAGGTCCCCACTTTGCTCCACGTTCCCGTAGTTGGACACTTAAGGATACGTTCTTATATTATGCATTTTTTCTTGAAATAACAAATAGATACTGCTTGTTTAAGCATATTATCAATAATAACACAGTGCAACAGCATTTTTATTTCTGGGATCGCATAGGGTGATTTTTATAGGTTTTTTGATGCCGAACGCGAATCCGTAATTAGAATTGTTCCATCACCCAAGATTTTTGAGAAATTTGACCTTGAAAATTGAAAAAGGCCGTTTTTGGGGTACTTTTTGGTTTTTTATCAGGGTACAAAAATTTTTTCAAGGGTTTTCATGATATGCGTACGAAAGCTCATATCCTCCTTAACAATTTCCAATTTGGACCTTTTAAAAATATCTATTTTTCGATGAGTTATCCTTGTTTGAAGTTCGCATCTTAACGTCAAATGGGATAACAGTAAGAAAAATATTAACATAATATTAATATTATTAATATTAACCCATTAAATCTCAAGCAGAAACCAAAGATTCTTTAAGAAACTATTACATTCTTAGGAAAATCAAAAATAAATTGACCATTGTTTTTTTGTTTATCATTTCAAATTGTTTAACAATAATTTAACAAAAACAAAGATAACTCATCGAAAAATAAATATTTTTAAAATGTTCAAATTGGAGATTGTTGAGGAGGATGTGAGCTTTCGTAGGCATATCATGAAAACCCTTGAAAAAATTTTTGTACCCTGATAAAAAACCAAAAAGTATCCCAAAAACGTCTTTTTTTCAATTTTCAAGGTCAAATTTCTCGAAAACCTAGGGTGATGGAATAATTCTGATTACGGATTCGCATTCAGCATCAAAAAACCTATTAAAATCACCCTATGCGATCCCAGAAATAATAAAAAAGTGAAATTCTGTTGCACTGTGTAATTAAAGAAGTTTTTCAGGATTAAAAATCATATAAATTTGTTACAAATACTTAAGTATTTAATAAAATATAGGTAAGCATTTTAATGAAAAATCACGAAAGCTTTAAGTAGTCAGACACTTTTTTCAATAGTTGGACAACAGTCAGACATTTTGGATTTGTAGAGTAAAAAAATACTTTTTTAATTGCTTCCTGCTGGAAAATTGAAATAAATCTTATTAGAAGTTAATAATATAATACTTAAATCCTATAAGTTTTAATATTTATGATTAATTATCAACAAAACTTTGTGCTACTGATTGCGCTACTCGTTAATGGTTGTATCTATAGTCGGACAATATGATTTTTAAAATAAAAGATAAAATTTTTTTTGTTTAAATATAATGTACAATAACACTACATATTTTCATAAAATATAAACTTCACACATTCGTCCAGTATATTCTAAAAATCAATAGTAATTCTTATGTAAGATCCTGCAAATAATAAAACATCAACACACTTTTTATACATCAAATCAAGTTTAAATAATATGAAATATCTTTAACAAATATTAATCAATTTGTTTCATTGAAGTCTTATTTTAAATGTAATTACATATATTTACATACAAAAATATTTAAGATACTTTTTGCGTGATTAGTTTGCCTACATGCCCAGTACGAAGTAAGGAATTGAGAAGAATTGAACATTTTCAACTATTTACAGAAAATGTTTTAATATTTTGTAATTTTTTAATTCCTTCGAAGTTTGCAACACTTTGAGATAAGTACTTTTAAAATTCGGTAGTCATAGTACAGTTTAAACAGCTGAGCGGACAAGCTGTTTGTCTCTGACAATGAAACTTGAGGGTTCAAATCTTCGGATGGACAAATTTTTTTCTGATTAAAATATTAAAACGGTATTCAAAAGAATAAACTTAGCTTTTTTCGGCTTCTCCAAATGAAAATAAAAAGAATTGGTCAGAGACGGAATTCAAAAGAATTCAAAATTTTGAATTCTTACACGGAGAGAAAAATCAAGCGTTTGTAGTAAGACATGGTCTATACTTAAAAAGCACGGCGCTGTTTATACTCGATTTGTAGAAATCTATGCTAAAAGAGTAGGGACCTATACTCTTTTAGTAGAGACCTATACTCTTTTAGCATAGATTTCTACAAATCGAGTATAAACAGCGCCGTGCTTTTTAAGTATAGACCATGTCTTACTACAAACGCTTGATTTTTCTCTCCGTGTATTAATTCCTTACTTTTTACTGGGTAGTTACAAAGTTTTAATTTGAATGTTTTGTAAAAATTTGCATGTAAATATATTGATATCTCGAGAAAAGGATCAGCTAGGATTTTGATCTCAACGGATTTTTACTTATGATATGATGCAGAAGCATTCCCAACAATCAGATTTTAGATCCATTTTTGTCAAACTTTTTTTTGGTTCAGGCACAGTGTGTAGGGAAAGAAACGTTTTTTCAAAAATTTTTTAGTTTTTCCTTGACAACGCTTTGGCTATTGCATAATAACATAGCAAGTTAGGGGAGAGTAGGCTACATTGAACCGAGTTTTTTCTAAAGTCCAAGAACTAATTAAATTTTACAAATTTTGATCAGGTTTTTGTATGAAAATAAAACTGAAGTACTCCTTTAGTTAATACACACGTTACAAACACAAATTATTATGATTAAATAAAGAAATTTAATTTTTTTCTAACCAGTTACACTTTTCTTATTTTGAAGGATCTGTGTCTACATTGAACCACCTCTAATAAAACACTACAACTTACTTCGAAAATAATATTTCCACTTACACATTGTAAAAAATCTTATTTTCCACTCAAAAAAATAGAAAAATGTTGTTAAATAGTTATTATTTGTTAATATAGTGCAGTTTAAGTTTATCTTGTTGGCAATTGTGATGAAAGCATGTCTTCCAGTATTTTTCTTACTAATTAGTAGAGCAGACAACTTTACAACTCTTAAAATTGAAAATTCTATGCTTTTTCGGGTGGTTCAATGATGCCACACTCTCTGTATTCACATGACATTCACAATAAAAATTGTTTATAATAAATTTATGTAAGATTTAAAGTTCTTTATCACATGGGGATATTGAAGTTGACACCCTAAGCGAAATAAATCAAAAGTTTACTAATTTTTAAAACTTCCTATTTCAATAAAAAAACTTCATTATATTTTCACAAAATTTTTTGTTTTGTACGTGAAAAACAGTTTTTTTTAAGATTTTCTTTGTAAATAATAAACCTGCGTGCCGGAAATTTTTGGACATAGTCTGTTTCAGTAAAACTAGCTTATATATTGAATAAGAAAAATTTTCACTCAGTCATTTCTCAGAAAATTGAAGTGGTTCACTGTTGACGCTGGTTCAATGTAGCCCACTCTCCCCTATGTATATTTTTCCTGTAATATTGGCCATCAGAATTAATAATATGAAATAATCTTTACAGAATATTAAAGATATTTGTTTACTCTGAATCAATATTATTTTCACTTTTTCTCATTAAAATTCAGTAATTTTCATGGAATCGGAGTTTAAATTTTTGGAACATTTCCAATTAAATCATAACCTTTGCTTTAAAAAATTTTCTTTTCGATTATGATATTTTTAAAAAACATATTGAAGATTAATTGTGCGAAAATTTGAAGTAGATTTGAAAATAATTTTTAAAGTTATTAAATAGGGAACAGTGGGGAAGCAAAATTGACCACTGAGTGAAGAATCATCCTTATATTAAAAGAATTAAACGATAAAGAATTGACTATTCAGATTTTTATTAATGAAAAATGTTTAAACGAAGCGAAAGCTTTCTACCGCCATAACAGGCATCATGCAAACACTTTAATATAGATAAACAACCATATCCTGCAGCTGAAGTTTCTCTCGTATGAGGAACTGCAGCAACGAATGGCGAGTTTAGATGCCGAAATGGAAAGAGAAATAGACGAGCTTAGAAGAAGGTATCAAACCAAGAGACAGCCAATCCTCGATGCCATGGATACTAAACGTAAACGTCAACAGAACTTCTAACAGTGTTGTACCCTGTTCTTGCGTGGATGAAGCATGTGTGTGATAGGTCAAACGTGTACAGTTGTACAAATTCATAGATTTTATTCTATAGTTTTCTCCAGATTTTCTCAAATTTAGTCAAACTGAATAGGAGAAATATTAATTTAATGTGAAAAATTAATTTTTACCTTTGCTTTTGTTGTTAAGCAATCAATACTGTTATGTTGAGAATCAAAAGAAATAATTGTTATTTCGTTACTCCGATTTTTCATAGTGAAGAGGCGAAATTTTTTAGATTTTACAAAAACTCGATTTAGAAAACGCAAATTGTAATATAGGTTAAGTCTGAGTGGTGTTTATTCAATTTTTTGTCGAATTAGAAAAATTTATGATTGAATGATTATACTTAAAAGGTTTCAACATTTTTGCCCTTTATTTGCAAGCAGAGTTGATATAAATGACTATTATAAATAATTTTAAAAATAACCAATGCAACTATTACGGTAATTTCTTTCATGTCAAGGAAGGAATGAATGAAAATAATTACAAATATTTTATATTCTCAAAAAATTTTAAATACATTTATTCCATTTTAATCATTTAATTGAATTTTTTAGTTTTTTTATTATAAAAATAGAAAAATTATTTACTTGATATCCATCACTGACTACGATACCGCATCAATTGACAATAAGTGATAAATTATGTAAGAAAGTCACTGTTTTGAAATCCATTAATTTTTAAAAATCAAATAATTCTGTCATGTTTAAAAAAATAACATTAATCACATTTGAGAAATACATTTCAACTTAAAGAAAAGTTTGAAAATATTTTTTTAAGAAGTTTTTAAAATTTTACATTTAAAGAAATGTTTGCGAAATCATTTAGATGGCGAATTTGAAACCTATGTTTAGAAACTTTGCTTGCAACTAATATTAATTAAGTAATATGTATTTATTGTAAGATTTGAAAAATCTAGGGTTGAAAAAATGCTAGCCATTAAAAATAGTGAGTCACTGTAAAGTATTTTCATTTATCAGGTCAATTATGCTTAAAAAATTATTATTTATAAAAATCTATTTGTTCTAAAAAATTTTATACCAACTGCATATTTTGGTTAAATAAAAAGCAATTAAAATGTTCAACTAATGTTTTCTACACATAAATGGTAATGAAGTTTTATTCAAAATTAATCTAGTGTTTGATAATAAAAAATTACCCTTAAATTTTAATTCCAAGTCCTTAAAATATATTTATTATTGTCCTTCTAGGATCAGTTATATAAGCAGTAACGTTGATTATTCTAACTTTTTCTTTTCCTGAACAAGAACCTCAGTTAAAAATGTTCAGGCATATATGAATGACAAGTAATTTAAGCTTAAATATTAAAAACTAATTATGTAACTATTTCAATCATTTTATAAAGTTTTGTAACCAACCAAATTTATTTCTGTTAATTTCTCATTGAACTACTGCCTAGTTTTAAACATTTTATTTTAACTGACAATATTTTTTAATATAAATTATTGTTATTTTATTTGTATATATATGTAATTTGATAAAAATATATAAATAATTTAATATTAATTTTATAAAATTTTGAATATCTCGGAATATTGTTTATAGTTTTTTATGAAATTTACACATTTTTCACGTAAAAGTATGTACTTTGAAATGCAAATAAAGTTATTAAAAAAAATTAATTTTTAAATAAAAAAATTTAAAAAAAAATTTTTAAACAATTTTTTGTTTATTTACTTCTCTCTGAGAAAAATGTTATTAACATATTTGGATTCCTTTTGAATTCACCTTTAATTTCATAAAAAAAATTGATGGAAACTCAACTGGGTCCGGAGATATAGAAGTTTTTGTAAAAAATAGGCCTTGTTGCAGCAGCAATGCACGACTACGGTAACGTACTACGCGACTTGTGCAGTATGGTGCTATTGCGCGGCGACACTTTTTTTACAAAAACTTAAATATCTTCGGACCCAGTTGAGTCTCCATCAATTTTTTTTATGAAATTAAAAATGAATTCATAAGGAATCCAAATATGTTAATAACATTTTTCTCAGAGAGAAGTAAAATAAACAAAAAATTTTTTTCTTTTTTAAATTAATTTTTTTTAATAACTTTATTTGCATTTCAAAGTACATACTTTTACCTGAAAAATGTGTAAATTTCATAAAAATCCATAAACAATATTCCAAGATATTCAAAATTTTATAAAATTATTATTAAAAATCAAAATGGCGTATCTTCAACAGTTTTGAATTTTTTTTTTAAATTTGGGGGAAAAAAGTCTCTTATATAGAACTATAATCCCACGAAATTTTGCGCAAATCGGCATATCCTTTGCAAATCGTGATATTTCTGACGTGAAATTCCTCTGAACTTAACCCTTTCACCTCGCCTTTCACACTCATCACGCAAAACTGGTCTTTTTTTTAAAAAAAGGGCAACGGTCCTTATAGTTTTCTGGGTAGCTGACTATGAATCCAATGTCAGATTTTCAAAATTTATAATATTCAAAATCAGATTTGCATGAAACTTTTTATTGGGAGGTTTTCAGGTTCGCTGAATATGCGAATATGAGGTCAGTTCTAAAAAAAATTTAAATGGTGGATCCAATATCAAATATGTCACACAAAAAACTTAATCTTATTGACATGAAACTTGTTTCTCTGGGGTTTTCGGGGTCGCTAATTATGAATTCGGTGTAAAGCATTCAAAATGGCGCATTCAATTAGAAATTCATTCTTTATGTAAAATTAGCAGAAGGTTTTCTTGTTTATGGCGGTATTCTATACCATCCTTGGGGTTTTGCAAGAAGTGCATTGGATTTTTTTGTTAACCCTCCTGCGTACCGTGACGAGTATACTCGTTCAGACTAAGTTGTTACCAAATGCGCGAGAGTTTGTGTTTTGTGTTCAAGTTTAAGATTTCAAAAGTTGTATTCTTCTTAATAGGCGAATTTACCTCGCGGAGCTCTATTCCACGGGAACCACCAAAATTTCAGAAAAGTCTATTATTCTGAATTGACTTCACAAAAATATGAAACGTGCATTCAAAAGAATGAGAAAGTACAGCAAATCAGTAGAAATTTCTATTCCTCTGAATTAACTCACTGCCACTCAAGATTCCACTAGAAAGTGAGGTTAGGTTTTAAAACTTGACTTAAACATTTAACACTTGAAAATTTCTTTCAATAAGAGCATTTTATATTTTATCGTAAGCACTTTGCGTCTTTTAACCATATTTTCACTAGTTTTAATATTTAATTTTAATAGTTTAGGGGCCGTACACATAATACGTCACGCGATTTTTGACCATTTTTAACCCCTCCCTCCCCCTATGTCACACTTCGTCACAAACCTTGAACCCCCCCCCCCTCCCCCTATAACGTCACGTCACACACGTAAATTTTAATGTGAATTTTATACATTTGACATTATATATTATATCCTACACTCAAAATTATTGAATCAGTTAAAAATATTTTTTTCTGACAATTAGTTAAAAATAACTGATGTTTCAATACAATTTTTTTTGATTAATTCATTTAGTCACGTTTAACTACCTATATCACCGAAACTTTCCTAAAAATTTATTAAAGATTTACTCGCAAGCTTAGAAATATTTAAATGCAAAGTTTAGTGAAAATTGTGTAAAGATTTAAATATCCCACTTCAATAAATGTTTAACGCGAAACTTTCCTGAAAATATTCACGAAATTATAGTCGAAAATGTAATTAAAATGTTCAGGAATGTTTCAAGCTATATTTTTAAGAAAATTTGACGATAAACATTTATTGTATAGTGAGAAATTTAAATCTTTACACAATTTTAACTAAACTTTGCAAGTAAATTTTTCGAAGTATGCAAGCAAATCTTTAATATACATATTTAGAAAAGTTTCGGTGTTTTGTGGATAATTTTTCAGTTATTTTTTTAACTGATTCAGAAGCAAAAAGTCAGTCACTGCTGATTGTCAGTTAAAACCAAGATTTTTAACTGATTCAAATTAAGAGAATATATTATTTATCATCATATTATATTATAAATAATAAAAAAATAGATGTTAAATAGCCCTACTAAAAATAAAATCAGGAATCGTCATGAATGGTCAGAATTTCTGAACATTCCTGAACAGTCTCACCACTTCTGACGTTTTCGAACGTTTCTCACCATTCCTAACCAAATACTTTCCAAGCTCCTCCCACTTTACTCCCACCATTTTCGAAGCTGTGACCATTTCTGAAATTCCTGACCATTTCTGAAATTCTTGACTATTTCTGAAATGTGTGAACACATAACCTATAAAAATTTTGGTACATCTTTCTAATTTTGGTAAAGTCTCATGAAAATTTATATATACATATAAAATCTTTCAAATTCATTTTTTACATTTCAGAATACATTATTCTATAATAAAAATTGTTCTTTTAACTTAACAAAAGTTCTCATTTTTCAAATTGGTATAATTATTGAATTAATTATACAGCAAAAGTAGGTAAATAAATCGGAACATTCGGAACATTCTTTTAACATTATTTAATATATTTATTTAATGTATATTTATAATATATTAATTTAATATTTATTTATTTTTTTATTTATTTATTTATTTAGTATTTATTTATAATAATAATAATAATCACAAGTGGTACAAAATATGAGAATAGAAAAAAAAAATTTACAATATTATAATAAATACAATTACGCATGTTCTTTGACTTATTATAAGTGCTAACAGGCGGAGATTTGCTAATGAGCTTTACGGGCTTATAAATATTGAATAAAGAATAACAATAAAATTTGTAAAATCTAGCTATAAAATAAGAAAAGGGGATAAAAAAGCAATAAGTAAAACCACCAGAATACCCTGCTCATACAACCACATTCAATCGTTCCAATAAAATGGATGACAGTAATATAACAAATTTTTTCACAGTTTTTGTATTTTGCGAGGATAAAACATTCAACCAGGCAGTCATCTTATCATTTTCCCGTACAATTTCCGGAAAAGCTCTCTCGCATAAATGTGCACACGCAGGACAGTCAATTAATATATGAAACAGGCTCTCTTCCTCCCGCCTGCATGAGGGGCAAATTTGTACTGAGTTAAACTCATATTTTGAGCGACCCAAAAATACTCTACAATTGTATTTGTTTAAAAGTCTAATTTGTGCAAATATTTTTTTGAAGTGTAACGAGAGCCTTGAAAAGAGGTATTGTTGGGTCTTATTTTGAAGCAAGAGATGAGGGTATACCAATAAGCTACTCGATTCCATATATTGCTGTCTATCACGAAAACGGAGAAACCTTTCGTAGTCCCGCAGAATAGCCTCCCGGTTTGCACATACAGTGTCCAGAGATAGGGTTCGCCATACATCAGGCTGATCCCCCCCCTCGAAAAACGCGCTTAATTGCGAAAACCAGTTGGGCCTTGCACCGTGTCTCCCCAAAGCTAATTCTCTGAGTTTTTCAAAACACTGTCTGGGGAACCTAGATTCAGCCATTGAAGAAATTTTGCAGATCCAGTTCAGTGTGATGGTTAAAACTCTATGAGAAAGATGAAGTGACCCAGTTTCAAGCCTGACCGCGTAGTTCGGCGTATTAATAGGAAGCGATAAAAGGTTTTTAATGAAAGATAGTTGAACTTTTTCCAGAGATTCAAGAAAGTTAATACCCCATGTTTGGACACCATACAAGAGTATGCTCACAGCGAGGCTCTGAAACAGTTTATCATAGGAACTCCAGGTGTCCATTCCGAGGGAATAAATTGTCCCCAGAATAGCCCCGGCCGCTGATTTTGCCGCACTAACAGATTTATTTGCCGCCGGAAGGAAGGAACCCATGTCATCAAAAATTACCCCCAAGTACGAGTACTCCCTTACTACTTCAATTCTCTCCTTGCCGTAAGCAAATGATTTAAATCTCCTGGCCGAGGAGTTTCCCGATCTGGTAAAAATGACAATTTTCGTTTTATTAGTGTTAACTTTTAGATCATTTTCCTCGCAATAATCGCACAGCGCAGACAGTTTTTTGTTTAGTTCCAGAGGAGAGTCCGCCAGGATGACGTAATCGTCAGCATAACCCAACATAACTATTTTTTGTAATCTATTGATAGACAGACCTCTGCAATCCCTTTCCACAAAATACTGTTCAAAATCACTGAAGAAAAGCAAAA